TGCTGGAAAGAAAAGAAGCACACATGCTGGAAAGAAAAGAAGCACACGGTGGCTGCTGTAAGTAGAGAAGAAAGCATGATGCCATGACTTGGAGGAGAGGGTTTCTCGGCCTAGAGCTAGAACAGCCACCAAGAGGGAGAATGATGAACCGTTGAGAAGCATCCAGCAGTGTGAAGAGGGGCCAGACGTTAGAAGGGAGAATAGTTGATTCTTGGAAGAAAAAGGAGGCTCACGGCCTGCTTGGTTTCAAATAAGAATTGAACGAAGCGACGTTGGTTTTCGGCTACGAAAGATTGGAAATTAATTGAAGCAGGCTTCAATGAGAGAAAGAGGTGCACGCTCACGGGCTGAAGACCAAAAGCAGCTGCTACGTCCACATGCTGCCACGTCCACACAGCCCATCAACACATGTCCAGCAGCCTTGTGTCCAGCCGAGAAGCGTTCCAGCAGCTTGGGAGAAAAACCTGGTCCAGCAAGTGAAGGGGTTACGAAAAGAAGCTCACAGCCCAACATGTTTCTTCATTTTCCAGCAGCAAGCCCAGCAGAGAGAAGACTTCACGCTTCCAAGAGCTGATCCACGGTCCAATAATTGAAAGAAGAGAGTCCAACATTCCACACTGGTAGCATCCAGCAGCTGGTCCAGCAAGGCATGGAGGTGCTTGGAGTAAAGAGCTCTCAGCTATCTTCACGCGACAGCAGCAGCAGAAATCAACACACGGCCCACACCTTCTACCACGTTCCAGCAGCATCCATCATTTCAAACATTACACGGTCCAGCTAGCACTTCACGGGCTGAAGGGAATTGAGGATTTGAGGAGGTGCATCCAGCAAGCACCAGGCCCAAGGCAGCAGCGTGCAAGGAGACGCGTCCAGCAAGCTTGGGGGCCATCACGCGTGGAGGGCTTCAGGAGGGTCTTCAGGAGGGTCTTTTGGATTTAAGCTCCAGCCGCCACAGTAGAAGGGGGTGAGCAATCACGGCTTGGGAGAGGTCCTCTCTTCCAGTAGCTCCCATTTTTCATTCGAGTAGAGCTCTAGTAGTGCAGATTCCAGAAAAATGTAATGTAGTGTAGTGTAGGAGTGTAGTGAAGCAGTGGAGGTGCCGTGAGATGTGTTGTGTTTCCAGAACGCCTAAAGTTTGGTGCCTACAAACGTTGCCTTCAACGGCGACAGTCCGACCAACACCAACACCAACCTAGAGATTCATAACCTTCCATTATCATCCAATACAATACTTATGCACACCCTTCATATCATATTTATAGTAATAAGGAGCATATCCTACAAGATCATACATCTATTATAGATTCATTTCTCTCAATACAAATAAGGCAACCTTTCATGAACACAACCACTCTCAGTGGGAACACAATGAAGCAAGATGTGTGTGTGGGAGGAACAATCACGGAAATGCCTCTTTTTCCTCCTCCAACGGCACTTCAGCGACACTCCGGTGACAATGGGTGGGTGGGAGGAAACGCAGGTTTCGCGTACGAACGGCGACACTCTGGCGGCACTGGGTGGCTGGGTGGAGGGAAGACGAGGTTTTGCCTACGCACGGTGGCACTACGGCGACACTCTGGCAGCAATGGGTGGCTGGATGAAGGGAAGACGAGACCGTCTAGGTTTCGCGTATGAACGACGACACTGCGACGACACGTACTCCAGCGGCAGTGATGGCTGGGTGGAGGGAAGACGAGTTTTTCTCCTTAGTTTTCGCGCTTAGAGGTTCTCTCAAATGTTCTGCAGATTACAACTCTCAAAATGAGAAAATGAACCCAAAATTTGAAACCTGTCCCAATTCTCATTGACACGTCATTCTTATATTAAAAACTCATTTTCCATGTACATCACTTACATTTTGACATGTGTTACGTGTCAAAATGTTGTCAAATTTTATTGATAAAGTATCATTTTTCATTTTTAATATTTAAAATCTCTTTCACATCAATCCATCAAAGCGCAACATTTGACTGTGTCAAAATGTTGTCAGGTTATTTTTGAATTTTAAAATCTCTTTCACATGGATCGATTGTGTCAAAATGTTGTCATTGATGTTAAATTATCATTATCCAAAATTAATTATAGGAAGAAAAACTCATCCTTGACATCATTAAAAAAAAAATGGAAGTACAACGAGAAGGTTTGTAGGTGCAAAGAGAGGTCCTGAAACAAATAGATTCCTTCCTCTTGCAGGCAATTAGTTCCGATGTTTTCCTCCTCCACCTTCATAGTAGATGTCGAACTACAAAAATAACCCTATCTTTTATCTCTTCCACTACAACCTCGCTCTTTTTCTTCAATGATGAACAACCCCACCCCATATTTCTATCGCCAAAGCTATATTTTCTGAATTGAAGAATCGATGCCGATGATTCAGAGAGTTGCGGCGGTTCTGGCAAACCAATCGAGGGACGTTCGGATCCACCGGAAAGGTTCGAGTCTGACCTTTATTATCGCCCTTCTTCACTGTTTCCTTTCATCCCTTCACTGAAATCCAATTCAATGATTTTTTTTTAATTGTTATTATATTATATTAAAAAAACAGAAAAGTATTGGGGTGTGGTAATTTAGGTGACACCTAATAATCGGATTAAGTGTTCCCAAAATATCTTGGAATACAAAATCCAGAATTATACATTCTATTTGAATGTTTTCAGATTTAGGAATATTTTCTCCAATACTTAATTTAGACCTTTTAAAAATACATTTTGAATTGTGTTTCAATAGTTATTTCCGGATTCAAAATTGTCTTTCAGAACACACAATCCAACATTAATGATATTTTTACTTTCGTTTTGAATTGTAGTTTCTGAAAAGTATTATTAAATCCAAAATACTTTCTAAAACAATAATCTGAAATATAAATAAAAAATTGTATATTAGATTGTGCATATCAAAATACAAAATGTATTTCAAATTATATTATCCAAAATATATATATTATGTATTACGGAGTGTGCAGTAAAAAATGTATGAAATTCAGATAAAACAGTTCCCGATTGTGAGTTGAGTTGTCTCCATGATAATCCACAACTTAAATGAAATTATCCAAAAACAGACTCCCCAAGGAGACGTGCTACCACCCACCACCACTAAGAAATTACAATAACACTGAAACACTCATTCCCTATAACTATTACCACAGCAATCACCACCACCTACAACAACAACAACAACCAGCAACCAATAACAACACTTCATACACTCCCACCTCATATAACTATTACCACAGGGGTATTCTAACAATAATAGGGTGCAGGAAGAAATTTCCCCTCCAGCAATAGCTTCGGTATAAAATCTTTACCCCGTATCCAGACTCAAAGCATCTGTTCATTGACTGCTGGCGAATACGAACTCATCTCCCAAAATACAAATCATCAAATACAGTCACAACGGACAATTCAGTCAAATATAGCAAAAGGGATTTCAGTGATCAATATTTAAGTTTATGATTTAGTTTAAGGGAAAGTTCGAAAAACGTAACCACCAATGTATTTTAACAATTCAGTAAGTAAATAATAAATCTAGTGATACATTGTACTTTTGCTCAAATTGAACTAATAAATCTAAAGATACATTTTGTCCTTAGTTATCTTTTAAGTAATTAAATTATTCCTGTACTTTTTATAATTTTTATTATACAAATTACTTATGCTTCAAGAAAAAAACAGGCATATAACATTGTATATAGGGTGTATAAATGTGCTTCAAGAAAAACGCAAGCACAGTGAATAACCCTAGTGGCCACAGACAGCTCTTCATAGCGAAAAGTTATTGTCAACGAATTATTTCATCTCGATTCAGTGTTCTATATCACCTTTCAAGACGAGTGTTCTGTAATCTTTAAATACTAATAAGCATTTCGGACACCTGTTAAACAATTACATTTTTAACTTAAAAGAAAGATTTTACACAGCATAGTATAGAATTATATTAATATTCTGTCACAACGTTAATAATAGACATAAGTCCTTTTATTTTACAGAAGACGATTACTTATTTTTTGACATTCTTAAGCTGCCTTACTTAAAAATATAATCAAATGATGGTACATAGAACACAAAAACAAAGTGTATAAATTTTTAGGATTACAGTTTTACTTTACTTTTTAATTTCATAATACTAAAGTACCAAATGAACCCGAATCCATTATGCAAATAACAAACCGTCTTCAAAACCATTGTCCATTAGTCATAAAAAAAATTTCACCAAAAAACATTTCGATTCTCAAATAAAAAACCATACTAACATTAATAGAATGATAAATTTACTTTTAATAAATGCTAACTAGCCTCTAGACACGAAATAAAAAAATTAAAAGCAAAATGGTTATGCAATATAACCGTTCTATAATTTGCTAATGCGCGTTCATGATTTTAGAAACGAAAAAAGATGTTACAACTTAACCGACGTTCTCAAGACAAGTTAGAAAGACGTTTTGAATTTATTATCATTCAGCGTTGAAGATTTTCGATAGAAAAAAGATTTTACTTAACCGATTTATAGAGGTGTCACCAACAATTAAATAATTAGGAGATCATTTGATCAAACAAAAAATAAGGAGTTTGAAATACAAAAACTACCACAAGCATAAAAGTTTTGACAAACCATAACACTAGGAATAAGCAATTACACTTTAAAATACATTAGAAAAAAGTAGAGGTTTCACCTAGTATAGTTTAGGTTCCCAGTGAACTAACGTAGATCCGTTAAAATATCAACAAAATACATCATGAGACGTTGCATTTTTTCGCCGTTTTTTCCATCCATCCAACCCCCGCCGTCTAGGTACTTAGCAGTCCTAACTTCCACACTTGCCTGTGAACCATGTTATTTTGTATTCCCCGTTTCCTGCTCATTTTTTCTCTAACTATAACAAAGCAAAGACTATTCAAGCAATTTTTATTTTTCTCTACCTGTCAAATTCAAGGTCTGCGCTAAGATTTAGTTCAATGTCATCGATATGTGTACTATTGTAGAGAAGTACCTAAGTTTATGTGTATCCACGAAATCCAGGGCTTTTCCCCACCTTTACTCCCATTCCAACCAAGGATCCACGAAAACTGTTAATTCACAAATCCATTTTCCAATCCTTCGACATAATCCAAATCTTATTTAAAAAAAGATCTACACAATATATAAAATGATTTGTGGGCATGGCAACATATGAAATACAAACCCATCCACACTAAACACAAACCTAATATTTCATACCAAAACCTGCCTTCAACCAATTAAAATAGAACAAAATACAGCTTATGCTTACAGCATTAGCTATCCAATGATGAAATCCAATAAATTGTGTTGAATGGGAAGTGGATGCTTTACATCTCTTAGCAACCCAATCTCCCAGCTGTACCAATTAATAGAATTATCAAATGTACTATAAGCATTGAAAATGCATCAATTCATGCAGATTTAATGAAACCACAGTAGAAGGTTCTCGTCTTAAATTGAAATTTTTAAAAAGAAAAACACTGACAATGTTAATGAAAAATAAATAAAACAAGGGAATGTAAACAAGTGGGGAATTGTTGTTGAATAGGATAAAGTAAACTTGACAACCCTTTCAAGTGGGGTATTGAATATTAAGAAATCTCAGACAACAGTTAGCCATCAGATTAAATTTCCGCTAGAAAAATTGATTTCATGTTGACTACCCTCTAATGGGTACTGGAATATTGGAATATTAAGAAAACTCAGATAACAGATAGCCATTAGATCAAATTTCCGCTGGCAAAATTCATTTCAAACTGCCACAATGTAATGCAGTGCATGAGTATAGGAATAGAAGTACTTAAAGGAAGATCATTAGACACAATCTTATATTTAAATTATCTAGGACCACTGCAAGATAAATTCTCCATTTCTCCACAAAACACGCCTGAGTAATTGCTCCTAAATATAATTCAATCAAAACATTTCACCACATTCAGGAAGTCAGTGAATAATTCAATGTTATAATCTACAATATATCGCATTCTAGTAGAAGGATGGGTGAGGGGGACCATATTATTGATACTAAGAATCAAGAAATTACTACAGCACAGTAACATGACATTGAGGAAGTCAGTGAATAATTCAATGTTATAATCTACAATATATCGCATTCTAGTAGAAGAATGGGTGAGGGGGACCATATTATTGATACTAAGAATCAAGAAATTACTACAGCACAGTAAAAGTAAATAATTCAGATCTTAGAAATCTATAAACACAAAACGGAAAACACATTATAACAAACCAAGTTTTGCTTTGTACCTCTAGAGAGACTGAAGGAACAACTAATTGAAGTTCTATACTTTAAGATATACTGGTAACCTCCTCAACCTGCTTGCTTTGATACTTGATACTGCAGTGACATTTGCAGACAAATATCATAAAAAGTTCTTGTACTGATATGATAATAAGATAATTTTTTTGCTAACTTTCCATTTCTTGAATTGACGCATGCGAGCAAACACTAGAGGGATGAAAAGCTGAAATTAGTTGTTTATTTCCTTATCATGGGGGAGATGAAAAATAAACTGTTTGGAAAGGGGGGGGGGGGGGA